CCAGTGAGCCTATGTGGGGCTGCAGGCACAAGCAGGGTGATGGAAGCTCCTTTGATGGAAACTGTGCCTGGGGAGGCACACTTACTGCAAGGAAACTTTCCACCAATAATAGTATTTCCAGGGGGAGCAAGAAAGTTGCTGATCTCCTCTTTGGATTCCTCCACAGCTGTGAAACAAACCCACAGCTGAGTGAACCCAATGCCTCCCAGTCCCTGACCCAGGATCCCTGGGAACAACATTCCTGTGGGCCAGATGGCTCCCTGGCAGCAAGGAATGCATCATAGAATCCCAGACTGGTTTGAATTGAAGGGACCTTAAAGTTCATTTGGTTCCAACCCCTGCCACGGGCAGGGACCCCTTCCACCAGAGCAGCTTGCTCCAAGCCCTGTGTCCAACCTGGCCTTGAACACTGCCAGGGATGGGGCAGCCACAGCTTCTCTGGGCACCCTGTGCCAGCGCCTCAGCACCCTCCCAGGGAAGAGCTTCTGCCTAAGAGCTCATCTCAGTCTCCCCTCAGGCAGGTTCAAGCCATTCCCCTTGGCCTGGCCCTACATCCTTTACAAAAACTCTGCTTCTCTCAGAGGGGCTCAGGAAATCCCTGAGAGAAGGTAAAGTCACAAAAAGTCACTGAAAGATCATCGAGAGAAAGCAAACCAGCATTACCTGCAGGGAGCGAGACGTGAGGAGACACTCCTGGGCTGCGGCGGGCACTGCCACGCTCCAGCTCGGGAAGCAGTGGGTACCAGCACCCTCTCCCCCCTCTTGTTTTTATTTTGGCTATTCAGTCTGAAGGTCGAAGGAAGAGTCCGCAGGAGTGGTTTGTGGCAGGAAGTAAATGATTACCCTGCCAGTGCTTGCTGAGGGGACCAAGGCACAGGGAGCTGGGGTGGGACAGGAAAATCCCTTCCTGGGGGGAGATTAGAGGGCAGCTAGCTAGTGGGGAAGTGCAACGGGTCAGAACAAAGTGCTCAGTTCACTGGAGGCTGTGCCAGGTCACATGCCAAGTCCTAGCAGAGGTAATGAGTCATGGGTCCCATCCCAAATGCCAGCAACACCTCCTGGATGTGGACATGACCCAGTGCTGATCCACCAGCAATCTGCAGAGCTCAGCAACGAAGGAAGGAGCTGGGTGAGGTGGAGACTTGTCCCCACTGCATCTGGGGCAGATCCAGTGACTTCATAAGGCTGGAGCAGCTCTGCTCTGGAGCCAGGCTGAGAGAGCTGGGCTGGGTCAGCCTGGACAAGAGAAGGCTCCTCAAGGGGAGACCTGAGAGCAGCTCCAGTGCCTAAAGGGGCTGCAGGAAAGCTGGAGAGGGGCTTGGGACAAGGGCCTGCAGGGACAGGTCAAGGGGAATGGCTTGAACCTGCCAGAGGGGAGACTGAGATGAGCTCTTAGGCAGAAGCTCTTCCCTGTGAGGGTGCTGAGGCGCTGGCACAGGGTGCCCAGAGAAGCTGTGGCTGCCCCATCCCTGGCAGTGTTCAAGGGCAGGTTGGACACAGGGGCTAGGAGCAAGCTGCTCTATGGAAGGGGTCCCTGCCTGTGGCAGGGGTTGGAGCTGGATGAGCTTTAAGATCCCTTCCAACACAAACCAATCTGGGATTCTATGATTGAAGCTGTGTCCTGGGTTCAGCAGTAGCAGTCATTTTTCTCCTTAGTAGCTGGTGCACTGCTGTGTTTTTGACTTTTGGTCTGGGAACAGCGCTGATAACGCCGATGGTTTTAGTTACTGCTCAAATGTTTAGTCTGACCAAGGACTTTGTGAGCCTCATGCTCTGCCAGGGACGAGGGAAACCTAGGAGGAAGCAGAGACAGGACCCCTGACCCAAACTAGCCAGAGAGGTATTCTGTACCACAGCATGTCATGCCCAGGATGTAAAACTGGGGGCAGTTACTCAGAAGGGTTAGATCACTGCCAGGATCTGGCTGGGTATCGGTCAGCAGGTGGTGAGCAGTTGTATTCTCTTCCCTTGTTATTTCCCTTATCATTATTGGTGGTAGCAGTAGTGATTTGTGTTATACCTTAGTTACTGGGCTGTTCTGATCTCAACCCATGGGAGTTACATTCTTCCAATTCTCCTCCCCAGCCTTCCGGGAGCAGGGGGAGGGGGGTGTGGGTGGTGGGGAGGGGGGGAGTGAGAGAGAGACTGCGTGGTCTGATTTACAGCTGGGCTTAAACCATGACATGGTGCCATCAACATAAAATTTTCTGACACATTTTGGAATACATGATTTGGAGCATTCAAGGTTCATTAAGCCAAGACAGCCAACTGCCACCACAACCAAGGTCTCTGGCTCCATGTGTGTGGGAAGAAGGCAGAACCATACCTGTCCCTCTGTGAACCCCATTCCCAGTGACAGCACGCAGAGAGGAGCTGGCTCAGACCTCCCCTTGCTCCAGCTTGTACTGTCAGTCCGACTGGGTGGCACAGCCGTGCGGGTGCGTGAGGATAACAGAGATTGGATATTACCCTCATGTCTTGGGGAATGAGCACAAACAGAGGTTCGTAAAGACATGGAGAGATAAACAAATCTGTTCACTGCTAGTGCGGAGAGGGCCTTTGTTTGTCTTGGTTTCAGAATGAGAAGGTTTAGAGGATTGCTGCAGCACATGACCAGGAGCTACAAAGCTGCAGACAAAAGCTATTTAGAACTGAGATCAGACTTCAGACTGCTTTGTGCAAATTAAACCTGCTGTTATTTTGGGATTTATTTTGTTCCCTCTGCTGCATCCCCCACTTTAACGGCTGCCCATCTCCCACAGCACTAGGTTCATGTAGGCTTTCAGTGGCATCAGCACAGCATCCAAACGCTGCTGCAGCAGGCTGAAGGGGCTGCCTGTATTTCAAGCCCAAGTCACAAGGGTTGCACCAACAGGCGCAGACAAATTTGGAGGACGAAGCATCAGCCTATTGCTCTGGCTTGCTGAGCAGGCCGGTTTTACAAGCTTGTCCCACGTCAGCTGTGAGTGTGTGTTGTCACCCAGCAGGAACACAGAGGGAAGCACTTTAGCAGAGCTGACAGCAAGACAAAGCCCGCTAGAGCTCTCTGGGTAATCGCTGGCTTTACCGCAGCTCCAGTGAGGCAGGCACTGGGATGCTCTGTTTCATCCTCGGGACCCACGCAGCTGCCTGCCAGGCATCACAGGGGAGGCAGAAATGCCTCGCAGAGCCCCTCCAGCCAGGCAGCATTGCTGCTTCCTGGGAAACAGGGGCTGGGCTGTGCCTGGGCAGGACTTGGAGATTTGGGGTGCCCTTGCTGGGGCTGAGAGCACCCCTGCTCTGCACCTGAGGGACAGGAGCAAGGAGCCCTTGACCGCCCTGACTTTCCCCCACTGTCACAACAAAAGGCACAAATCACCTTACAGCCCCCAATACACTCCAAGCAGGAAGCCGGTTCTGTTCACAGGGGGAAAAGTGTTGAACTAGGTTTAAAACCTCTGCCAAATTACAGCTTCGTAAAACAGTTTCCATTACCATGTGCCTTGAACCAGAGAACCTTCAGTCCCTGAAAAGCATGAAGACAAGGGTCAGGTTGGTCTGTGAGCATCCCGCATCCTCGCACAGGCAGCTGCCTAGGAGGAGAGGCGAGCAGAGCTGCGCTACAATGCGGCATGGCAGCAGGAATGCAGCCCGAGTGGGGAGCACGGAGAGGACAGGACCCTACAACCACTGCATGCAAAGCAGCTGGGAACCACAGATGTGCAGAGACGTGGTAACCTGCCTGAGCTCCCCAGCTCTCTGCTTACTCCCAGGATCTGAGGGGTTATCTCGGGGAGAAGGGGCACTGGGTGTCCTCCCATGCTGGTCCTTTCCCAGCACCCGCTGGAGGAAACAGAGCTAGAGCAGAGAGCAGAGGCTCGGGGAAAAGCAGCGGCACCAGTGAGGAAGCCGCCCCTGTCGCAGCTCCCCCGTCCGCGCTGTGGGCTGGCTCCTTGGACGGGCCGCGTCGTCGGGTGAGGGCGCTGGCCCCCGCCGCGGGCGGAACCCCCGGGCAGCGCTGGCTCGGCTGCGGGTAACCCCGACGCCGGGCAGGGACGGGCGGGATCAAGGTGAGGATGGGGAGAGGGGTGGGCATGGGGGTAGGGATAGGAGTGGGGGTGGGGATGAGGATGATGAGGATGTGGCACAACTGGATACCCCAAGAAAGGGAGCCGGCAAGGAGGGAAATACGGCTAACCCACCCCGATGCCGCCCACGCCCACCCGCGGCCCCAACACGTCCTTGTCCTCACGTGGAATAAACCTCGCAGTTCTCCTGCGCTTCCCTTTCGGAGGCTGCCCAGGAAACCGCCCAAAATGCTGTTTTTTCTTCTGGAAGGGACATCCCCCCGCTTGGACACCCTTTGCTGCCAACATCCCCACACCCCAGTACTGCAATGCAGAGCTGTTTTGGGGGCGGAAGGGGGGGGGGAGCAGACACGGACCATGCAGATCGTATTGGGGCTCAATATGATTTGGGACAGTAAGAAGAGACCCACAGGGCCTTGGCTTTTCCTGGGCTGCAGTAGGAGGGCCCTGGGTACCCCTGTCTTCATCCCTGTTGGGCAGCAGCAGTGGGTAGGCAACAAATTAATGGTTGTGGCTTTTAAATTGATGTAAATCGGGGTGGTTTTGATCACAGAGTGAGTTTAGTTCAAGGCAGGAGGTACCCCAGCTTGTTATTTCATTGATCCCACCCTTCCCCATTGCATTTGTTTGGTTTTGGTGGGTCCCTCTTTCACAAGAACAAAAATCTTGAGGTACAACTGCAAACTCCATCTATCCCTGGGAGTCTGAGCTACCAGGTAAAGCAAAGCTGGGGGGGAGAGAGGGAGGGGCTGAAAACAGCTCCCTATCTTTAGGACCACCTCTTCCCAGAATGTGCACGTCCTACCTCTTGCAAACAGCTTAATCTCACCATCGGTGCCCCTCAGGTGTCACCAATGTGAGTGGGTGAGGAGGCTGAATCTTCTCTGCCCTGCCCATCTCCCCAGGCCCCACGAACCAGGCCAGCCTCACAGGCTATGTCTGCTCTTTATTGTTCCATATATTTATGTACCACATTATATGTTAAAGATAGATTTGTTGTTTTTTTTTTTCTGCTATACATTTTTCATCTTATTTACCACAATGACACCACACATACATTGGAAACAGCTCCACAGATCTGGTAGATCGCACAGAATGAATTGGTTTGTTCCTGTATCCTGAACAATGTCAAATCCAACAATATAGATATATATTTTTTAACTTTTCTAATTTAGAAATGAAATTGTTAAAACAAAATGAAACAAAAGTCACCAAGAAGTGGACTCCAAGATTTCAGCCAGAGGCAAAACATTGTAATTGATGGGAAGCGCCGTTCCTTGAGGTGGATTTGGATGGAAGAATTAAGCAGTCCTGACATCCATGTAACTATGCTGTAAACAAGGCAGGTTAACTGACATTGCTGCTCAGCAGCTTCTGCTTGGGCTTGTTGGGCTGGTCAGACCATCTAGCTCTCACCTACATCCATCTCACACCCTGTAGAATGAAGGTCTCTGCTCCCAGCACCCATGCTGGTTTACTTCCATCTGTGAGTGCAGTAACCAAATCCCATCGGGTTGGCACCTGTGTTTCAGCTCCTGAAACACTGAATTGCATATCTGTAAGTATTGAAAGCTGCAGCTGTTTCCCAACAGGTCCTTTGGGGGTGGCCAAGCTTCAGGCAATGAGTGAGGAGATGGGGGTGGGGAACCAGATAATTCCCTTCCAAAAAATCCTAAATAACAAAAAAATATATCTAAATCTTAGCTTATTTAAAAATACAGAAGGGCAAATACTTTCATAGAATCATAGAATAGTTAAGGTTGGAAAGGACCTTAAGATCATCTAGTTCCAACCCCCCTGCCATGGGCAGGGACACCTCACTCTAGACCATGGTGCCCAAGGCTCTGTCCAGGCTGGCCTTGAACACTGCCAGAAATGGAGCATTTACCATGTGTTCTTATTTCTTTTAATTTGCAGATTCTATAACATAGAATTTGGATGCACGTAACGAAAATAATGACTCTTTCCATTAAAGGGATGCAGAATTATTTGACTATGCAGATGTTCGATGAGATTCTCTTACAGCAACCAACTCTGGCCCCTCTTTAGTCTTCAGTGTTGGTTCTGAAGGCCTCTATGAGGCCTTCCAAGGAGTGGATGAACCCAGAGACACTGCAGATACCACCTATAACAAAGATGGCAACATCAAAGAAGACATGGTGCCACAAAAGCTTCCTCCACAAGAGTTTGAGGTGGAAAAGACTGGGGAGCAGGAAACAGAGCCCTGCACCTGTGAGGCTCCCAGTAAGACCCATCAAGAGGGCAAAATGTGGGACATAGATAGCCATGAGCAGGGTGAATACTACCAGGGCACATCTGAGGGTGAGTCCCCAGGATTTGAGCCGCCCATCACCCCCATAGCAGTTGGGAAAAAATGCCCTGTTTCCATCTTGGAAAAGGGATCTCTCCAGGACTTCCACAGCAGCAAAGAATGGCAAGGGGTATGAGAGCAAAGCTTTGGCCACCAAGAAAATATTGACTACTGCCCTTATAGTGGATGGCAAGTTGTCTGTAATGACTTCCTTGGTCTCATCAGCCCAGGTCAGATAGGCAACCAAGGCAAAGAGTCCCTTAAGGATGCAAGCTGCTATGTGAGTCCAGTTCATCATGCAGTGAAACTCCTTGGGGTTCTGCATGTTCCCCTCCAAGGAAGGCAGAAAGATCTGAGAGGTGTAGCTGAAGACAATAATGCCAATGGAGATGGGAAACTTCTTTACATCAATGTAAAACTTGACTTTGTCCCAGGCCCAGTCGCGTGCCCTGGAGAGGCAGTAGGCTATCACCAAGATGTTGATCACAAAGTGGGCCAATGTGCAGAGCAAGCTGAACTTGGAGACTGCCTTGAGGTTCTTCAAGAATGCACAAGGCAGGAGTACTGCTGTGGCAATGATGGACCATGACTTCTGGGAGACTGGCAGGTTAGGAAAGCTGTTGTACATCAGGTTGCCACTGACCACCACATAGAGAATGCAGGTCATAACCAGTTCAATGATCTGAGCCACGTTTACAATCCTGCCTCCAAGGGTGGGGAAGCGGGGTGCACAGCATGCGTTTGCTATGTCCACATAGGAGTCTCTCACCCTGACTATCTCTCCATCCTCATTCTCTTCATAAAGACAGGCAATAAGGATTTTCCCTGTGTAGCAGCAAACCACTGCAGCGAAAATGATCAGAAAGAGTCCCAGGTATCCACCATGAAGGATGGCATAGGGCAGGCCCAGCACAAACATCCCCTAAAAAGAGACAAAATGGAAACCGTGTTGCTCATCTTGCGGAGGGCATTGGGCACACACAGTGGCACAGTTGCAGTCGCACACATCATCACTGTCTCGCTTCACCATCACACCCACGCAGCTGGTCACACAGTCACACCATGCACTGATGGCCACACACCATTGCAGGCCCCCCTTCTCTCTGATGTAACACCTGCACCGTTCTACCTGCACAGTCCCGCCCTGGAGCACAATTTTGTTACCCTGGCTTCACCCCAATCTCTACCCTCTCAGTGCACCAAGAGCCCAAAGCCAGGGACGCACAGAGGGGCCAGACCTGAGCCCACCCCTGTGCAGTTCCACACCTACCTGGGGTTGGGGGTTTCCCTTTCCTTTTCCTTTTACCTTTTTAATACCCTGTTTTTTCCCCCTTTTCCCTCAGGCAGGTTTGCCATCAGCCCGGCGCGGGAGGTGGGGGGGGGAGGGAGGCGGACAGGGAGGGATGGAAAGAGGAAGGAGATGGCAGAAGTGGGAACGGGAGCTCTCTGCGGTGCCCGTGGTCGTACCTGGATGGCGTTGGTGACATTCCATCCCGCCTCCCAAGCCGTGATCTTGGGCTTGCCCTGCCCGGAAAGCTCTGGGCAGCCATCCACCTCCTTCATGGCGGAGGGCGGTGGGGGCCCCGTGCCGTCCCGCTGATAGTGGATGTCCCCTTCCAAGGGCGGCTCGGCGCCCTCCTCGCCGCTGTCGGACTTGAGGATGTCCATCTGCAGCCCCTGCCGATGCTCCATGTCCAGATCGTCGCAGTGGGCGAACCCCACCGCCTCCTCGTCGGTGGCCGCCTGGAAGCCCATCCTCGCGAACATACCACTCATCTTCGCCTGGGACTTGTTGGACACGGAGGTGGCCACGTTGGAAAGCTTGCTGCGGAGGAGGGTGGCCATGGCGGCCTGTCGGACCACGCCGCTGTTCGATGAAGGACAGACTCGACGGGGCTGGCGAGCGGCGGCCCGGCAGAAGGGGCCTCAGCGTCCGGCGAGGGGCGGCGGCAGCGGGGACTGCTGAGAGCCGCTACCCCCGCGTACCGGTGTGGTGCGAGCCGTGCCCCTCCGGGCTGCCCAGGGGCATGACACCGCGGCCGGCAGCTGCGGGTCCGCCCCGCGCCCCTCCGCGCTGCTCCGCGCCGCTCCGCCGGGCTCCGCGGCGGGATCGGGGGCTCGAGCCGGGCCCGGATGGGATGGGGGGGGGGGTGTCTGTCAGCAGCCGGCGGCTGTCACCAGACGGGCAGCGCAAGCCCCTGGCAGAGCGCGCAGCATCTCCATCGCAGTGCGCCCACCTCGCGGAGAGGAGAGAGAGAGGGGGGAGAATTGCTGCATTTCTGGGGGAGGTACCAGCGCCCCGGCCAAGCCCGGCCCCCCCGCACCCTCCTCCCCCGCCGGGCCAGCAGCGCCGCAGCGCAGACCCCCCTCTCCTGCGCCTCAGCTCCTGCGCTGCCCTCCCTTGCCCCACGCTTAGCCCTACACCCCACGACAGCGTCGCGAGCCCCTTCCCCACGGCGAAACAAAGGGTCCCCATTAACGAGGCGGACAGACGGCTCGGCTCCGGCTCCTAACGAATTTTCCACCCTCACACCCCCTCCCCTTTTTTCTCCCCGCCAAAACCCGCAGCCCCTTCGGAGCTTGGGCATAGCCCTGGGCACTGTGTCCTGCCGCGGCTGCGGAGCCTGGGGAAATTCGCAGGCAGCGAGCAGGGCTCAGCTCCCGAGAACGAGTCGTTTGATCGAGGGCTCCGATAGCGGGTGCCCACTCCCGTTCGGTCCTCGCAGCAGGGCGGCTCTGCCCGCGGACCCGCACCGGCGGGGCTGCGCTGCTGCCTTCAAACTGCGCTCCCACCTCACGTAGAGAGTCTCCTTCCTTTAAAATAAATACCGCTATTTTCGTTTCTCTCACAAACACCCATAGTTTTGTTTTGTTTTGTTTTGTTTTGTTTTTTGTGAGGAAAAAGCCTGACAGTATTTTCTCTTGATTTAAAATATTTCCGAGGTGAGCAGACAACAGAGCGAACAATGGCAACGAGAAATCCCCGTCCTGTGCTGTGACAACGATCAGCACATGGTAGCCGGTGGAGCATTGGCATTTTGGGGTACTGTGTGTGACAGCCCGGCCCCCTCTGCTGCGGGGAGACCGTGTGATTCGTTATTTAGAATAAAAACCAAATAGATGTTCATTGGGGTGGGGGAATCTGTGTTTCTTTTGCTGCTTTGCAAGGCAAAAAAAAATATATTTTTAAGCTACAGATGGGCGGAAAAAACAGAGCTGAATTATTGTGAATGCCGTTGTTTGGGGGACTGGGGAGGGAGCGCTGGGGCTGGAGCTGGAGCTGGGGCTGGGGCTGCACCTGGTGCAGGGGCTGGGGATGCGGATGTGGGTGAGGGGGGGGTCTACGGAATCGCACGGAGGTGGAGAGCGAACCCCCGATGCATCCCTTTTAATTTCTTGCCAGAATCCAAAAGGAAATCGGGTGCAAAGCGACTGAAAAGCATTTAAAAAAAAGACAAAAAAAAAGTTTATATAATACATATAATACATTTGTATGTAGAATGTATATTAATATATGCTATCTATTATACATAATATACATATATATTAGAATACGTATTACTTTATTAGATTTTTATCTATATAAATAATACCCACGATGACGGCTTCTTTATCCCGAGGGGCTGCCGTCTCCCGACGTGGCAGGGGCAGACTCTCCCCACAAAACGGGGCTATTATATAGGAACGGCTCCGGCGCGGGGGGGGGGGGAAGGGCCGCAGAGGGAGGCGCACCCCTTTCTTCCTGGAGGGATTATCTCATGTCAGTGCACAAATAGGTCGGGAACGCCGAGCGGGACCCGCTTTCGGCCTGGGGCTCTCAGCATCCTGCCCACGACGGGGCCCCAACATGCAGTGGTTCACGGGGACATTAAATCCAACCGGGAAGGATGCGGGGCTCGGGCCGCAGCCGCCGTTTCGCTTCCTTACAGCCCTGGAAAACGACTGCTCCTAGGGATACCTCTGGGGGAATTCAACTGTTCCTTTTATTTTATTTTATTTTATTTTATTTTATTTTATTTTATTTTATTTTATTTTATTCCCAGTTTAGTCGAAGCCAAGTTCATTGTTATCGAAGACGTGGAAGAGACCTATTGCTGGAGGCTGCAGAGAGCATGGGGAAAGGAAGGATGAAAATTCCCCCGGTGCCGTGGAGAGGACGGGGGAACCACCACCGGCATCGTGCCGAGGGCGGAGGAGACGGACTTTGGGCTGGTGGTTGAGTATCCGGCGTGTTCGAGATGTGCCAGGAGACAGTTCTAGAGGAAATAATAACTAACATACCAATCAACCAAAGAAATAAATAAAAAACAACAAAACCAAAACAACCCGACTGTGTAAAAATAATAAAAGAAAACAATCAAAATTAAAATAAAATGATACAATTAATATAATAATTAGAAAACAACACAAAAATAGTAAAAGGAACCAAAGCCCAAACCCCACCACACACAAAACCCCCCAAACACAACCCCTCCCCGAACCAAAACCATAAACCAAAATAGAACAAAAAAGGAAAAAAAAGAAAACCCCGGTCCCCGCAGGGAGCGTGACCGTAAGCCCAGGGATCCCGGCACCTCAGCACCCCGCAAGGCACCGGCTGACACCGAAGCGAACGGGAAACTGGGGGGTTCGGAGGGGATGCTCAGTGATGCCGGAGGGATGGCAAGGTCCGAGGGGTTCAGAAGCCGGCGAGTGGGGTGTCGAGGGTGCCTCTGTGCCCACGCGGTGAACCCCATGCACGGTTCTAACAGTGGGAGGCCGAGCCCGCTCCCGCCCCCGGCAGCCGGTGCCTCGCTGCCCTGGTGGAAACACCCCCCCGGGCATCGCCTGCCCCGGGACGGGTACCGAGAACGAGACTTCGTGCGGCGGCGGCTGGAAGGAAAAGGAATCCCCGAACTTGTACCGGCGGCTAAACCCGGGAAGAAACTCACAGCAAGGCGGGAGGGTAGAGGAGACGGGCAGAGGAGCAGGGCAAAGTGGCGTAGAGACGGAGAGAGGGGTCGGGGCATTTACCTCTGCTGCCCTCCCCATCGCCGTGCCGGACGGACGGAGGGACGGACGGGGGCAGCCGCGTGTCTCCTGGGCTTCCCGAGCTCGTTAACCTGAGCAGGATAACGGTGCTAAACCCTCCTGTAAAGGTTAGAGGCTCTCAGGGGGGAGTTTGAGCTGCAAATCGTTTCGGATGAAGCTAAAAGTAGAGGGCGAGACTGCAGCGAGCCGGGGCCCTCCTGCTGCCTGGGGGGGCTTCTGCACCAAGTGCTCCCACCGGAGCAGCTCCCCTGGGCGGGCTGAGGGTCTGTCCCCACCCTGGAAGCGCCGCTCCGGTGGGGGCTCGGCTCGCCCGAGCCCCCCGCCTCAGGCACTACAGGTCCAGCTGGAGGAGTGACTCCGCCTTACCTCCGCAAAGCAGGCTCGACGGGTGGGAGGTTGTGGCTGGGTCTTCTGATTAATAAACTGAGGGAAAAGAGCTATACATGCTCAAAAGTCATTTCAGGAGAGCAGGAAAGAACAGCCCCGGCTGCGCTGCCTTCCTACAGCCCCTCTCCAGGCTGTTGGGTGGCACAGGGCAGCGGCAGTTGCACGAAGGTGCAATCATTTGGAAGCAGGAGAAGTATCACTCCCAGTTCACTGCTCAGTCAGGCTCCCAAAACCCAAAGGGTTTGATTCTCATGGGCTTCAGTGGGCTGTGAACTGCCTCAGACAAATCTTCTCTGTATGAAAAAGGGGACTTGCAATTCCAGTGTGCTCAGCTTCATCTTCTTCTGTAATACGGGAAGCCTGGGTGTTCAACTGCAGGCATGTGACCCCATGATTCCTGCTTAGCATCCTTTATGCCACAGAATTTCCCCACGCCCCAAACTCTGCAGAGACAAGGCCGGGAGGCACCTTCAGCCGAACCAGACGAGAACATTTCCCAGGCTGCGTCTGCCCAAAGACCAGCCTGCCCAGAGCAGACCTAGTGCAGTTCAATACAGACGCTTGCTCTTGGAGAAGCAGCCGCCCCTCCCAGACACATACACGTGTACCTAGAGCTGTGATTGCAGGAGTCCGAAGTGGTTCACTGTGTCCCCGGCTGCTGCTAAAAGCATCTCCTGGGTTTATTGCCCAGGCTGTCACCATCTCCACAGCATCAGGGATGCCCAAACTCACTCTCTGCTCCCGAGCACGAATGGCTGTGCTGCAGCAAGCTTCATCTCAGCTCTGCCCCCTGTCCCCCTCGGGCACCACGCAGGGGGCTCTGACAGGGTAATAAAGAGTCGCACAATATACTATAAAAAGGCAATTAGATAAACTGCTGGATTGGGACCAGCTCCTGTGACCTAGTTAATAGCTCTGTGTATTTCAGGAGGGTAGGGAAGGAAAAGGCATTGGTGTCAGTGCATGATGCAGAGCAAGCGGGTTTTGGAGGGGACGAAGGGCTACAGCGTGCAATGTGGTGCTCAGAAATACCCTGAGAAAGCAGCCCTAGCACCACACAGTGAACATCCCTGCCTTGGGTCCCACCTTCTCCTCCTCACCCATGTTTAGAGCACACATGTCAGTGTTTAGGTTGTAAAGTGGAAAGGCTGAATGTAGAATCACACAAGCTGCTGTTTGGCACTGGATACTGAGGCTGAATTAACTCACAGTGTGGTGTTCAAGACAAAGATGATTTTAGCCAGAATGACAGATACTTTGCTGAAAGATAACTGCAACAGAGTGAAAGCCAAAAGCAAAGTCTCCAGGAGAAAGCCCGCAATGGATGTCTCTTCTTTATTTACTTTTTTTACTGAACACAAAATGGCTGCCTAAATTATAGAGACATAAGCCAAAGACAGCAGATAAAGGTCTGGGAATATCATAATTTTAGATTAACAAGTCTTACAATAAGAAAATTCACCTGGAACTATGTAAAAACTAAATAAAGGCTTCTTGATTTAACTGCACTATTTGCAAAATAGACAATTCCTGCTCTGCAATTCGGGAGACAGTTTGTACATGAATTTCTGTGATTTTCATTTCCCAGAAGAAAAAAGCCCCGATAAACAATTATCACATATAAACTAAAAATTCATTTGCAATTTGAGCACAGCATGTTCTCAAAGATGCTTCCATAAGTTGGAATTAATTTTAACTCATAGTTTGTTTTTATTGTTGACATAAAAATTAAGAGATAGACATTGGTCACTTGCCATGGCAAATTCCCAGCTAATTACGTGAGTCGCATTGTTCCCACAAGCTTAACAGCATTTTCATTTTATATATAAAGCTTCATCACTGTCAAATTAAATATTCATATATGTACATGCTCTTGTATTTCATAAGAAATTATTATGAACTAGCAAAGTGGGTACTTTGTAGGTGCTGATATTTTTAACTACATCTCCTTGCATTTTACCCTGTTACATGGCCTCCCAGCAAGGCTGGTTCTGCCCGAGGCTGGGTCACTGGCTGCTGCACAAGCCAGTGTCTCGAGAGCTACTAGTGCACATGCAGAGGGCTCTCAAACATAGTATGAGTTGAGGTTTTCTGT